CCCCGGCTCGGATAAAGCGATGCAGCCGCACAGATTCATCCCAGCTGCGGCCACGCTGGTGCTCGGTGAGGGAGTCATGGCACGGAGCAAAGCCCTGCTTCCTTCCCAGCCCTGCTGCACCCCAACTTTAGGAGCATCTCGGTTTATCTCCGGAGCTTTTTGCTCCAGAGAAGGAAATTGGATCAGAACCGTGTCCTCTGCAACTGTGTGGGAGGTTTTATCCGCTTGGTTTGGATGAGTTTGCTGGGGAAATGAATCTGAATTCACTGAAGCAAAAATGTGTTTAAAAAAAAACCTGCCTTCAAATGAGATCCAAATCCTGCCGTTGTCCCTGCAAAAGCCTCTCTGCTCCATCAGCTTCTGGCCTGGGCTCTCTCCCCTGCGTTCGTTCCTGGCCACATCTGCAGGGGATCCTGCTTTCCACCAGCTCTGCTCTGCGGTACCGCTAGCAGGGAAAGCAAAACCAGGTTGTCAACAGCCACCCGAGCGTCAACACGGCAAAGAAAGGGCTGGGGAGCCCGAGTGGGTCAAACGGGAAGGCTGAGAGACCACGGGGAGGATGTTCAGGCAGTCCAGGGCTTAACAAAACCTACTCTCAGGATTTCATTCCATCCTTTCACTGGGATGGCTCCTTAGGGCAGATTTTTGGCTAAGTTACCTTTAAAGATTTGTGTTTTCATCTGCGGAACAGCCCCCTGCTGCCCACCTCCGCTGAAGCTCAGGTTGTGTTGAAAGCAGGTGGACACGTCCTGCTCCCAACACCTCGAACCACAGCTCCTGGAGTTTACAGAACAGTTCCCCTGCTAAACCCAGCTCCTGTTTCCACTCTACACCAGTAAAAGAGCCGCATGATGGTGGTCAGTGACAGCATGGGTGTCTCCACCTTCTGCCTCCTGGCTCTCCCGTAAAGCTCCTGTCCTTGGGAGGACACTTCACAGCCTAAAATAAATTCTCTTCAAGCCTCTCTTGCCTGCCAGAGCCCTTCCTTTCCAGCCCATCCCCTCCACTACAGCAGATAAGGAGAGCTGCTCTCCAAACTTCGCAGAGCCCCCAGAGCCCAGGACTCAAAGATCTGGGGGGCAATAAGAGCTGGCTGCTTGCACACAGCCTCTGTCCCTCCAGGAGCAGATGGGACCCTCCCCAGGGCTGGGCTCAGGGATCAGCGGATGGAGGTTTGCAGGGGCACGCTCTGCCCTGCCCAGGGAATGCTCGATCCCAAAATCCTCGGAAATATCCCATTTCAGCCAAGGGACTCGAGTCCCCTCCTCACCCACGAAGGGATGTCCATGTCCGTGTCCGAGTTTCTCCAGTCCAGAGGCACTCCTGGAGGCCATGAACATCTGGATGAAATGAAAGAGGCTGGATCAAGAGTGTCACCTAGTGGCAACAGGGCTGAGAAAAGGTCGCACGATCCCACAGAGACCCCACGCACTTCCCCACAGCCATAAAACCTTCCAGGCTGCAGTGATACGGGTCCTTGAGTGCAGCCGTGCCTGGGAGCCAGCTGACATGCAGGCTCCCCGCATCCATCTGCAGCCCACATGCTGAGGAGTTGGGATCGATTTTCCTTTTAGCAGCTCTCCCTCCTCTTCCCAAACGGAATGGAGCAGAGAGCTAAAGGGAACCATCGCTCTCCCGTGCCCTGTCCCCTCCTGCGCTGCTGTCCTGTCCGGTGTCCTGGTGTAAACTGCCATAAACCAGCCAGGCATCCGAGCACTGAGGAATGGAAGTCAGAACTAATTTATTTAAGGAAAAAAACAAAAAACAAAAAACAAAAAACCAAACCAAAAACCTTGTAAAAAGGAGGGGGAGGCATCGATTACAAGCTCTGGAAGCTCTTGTCAGGACAGCGCCAAAGAAATCAGCTTTATACAACAGAGAGAAAGGGGGAGCAGGAGGGGGCTCGGGGCCGTCCCCCCAAAAAAAACCCCCCCCAGCCCTGCACGAGCCGTCCCCGGGGAAGGTCCAGCGGCATCCTGTCCCCCATCCCCTGTCCCCCTTCTCCCTCCACCACCAATAAAGTGCAGCAGGGAGAGGGAGGAGAGGGGCTGGCTCCCACCCTGAAACCCTGTGCCCATGGCATGATCCAGGTCCCTTGTCCCCAGGGAGCTACGTGGTGGCCCCAAGGACCAGCAAGGAATGGACTCTCACCCCTATGTGTCCCAGTAAACACACACAGCCCCAGAGGCACATCCTGGGGCAAAATCCTCCTCAAGAGCTCCCTAATCCAAGGGAGCTGGGGTTGAATGAAGACCCAGCGGGTGCCAGGAGCACCAGCGTGTCCCTGGAGGACCAGCATGTCCCCACGTGTCCCTAGGCAGGGCAGATG